GAAAATTAAAAAAATTAAATGAAAAAGAAGGAAATAGCTGTTTGCAGTGATCACGTTGAATTCATCACAATATGGCAAAATTATGATTGAAAACATTGTTGGCGAGGATCCAAGTGAAACACGTCAACGATTTATACCACCAAAAAACATCGGTTAGCTCAAAAAGTTTTTGAAGAAATTTTTAAAGAATATTTTTTTTAAAGTTATTAGATTTACATTAACAAAAAATATGAATTAATTTGAACAGATTAAAAAAAAAAATTTCAAAGCAATCCTTGTTTTTCTTTCTGACAAATTATTTTGATCACTTTAAGTTATCAGATCTTAACAGCAAAAAGTATCAATTCATTCGAAAGAAAAAAGCATCAGTTAATAAATTTTAAAAGAATGAAAATTTAAAGAATACTCTTTTTTGTGCAAAATTTTTTATCATTTAAAATTATCAAAATTCTGATGTTTTACTTGTTAAAAATTTAATCAATTGATTAACATACTTGAAATATTTTCTTATTAAGAATAAAATTTGTCATACTACCAGCTAATTTTTCGTTTTCTTTTTTTAATCATTTGATTAATGATTAAATTTTTTTAATTTGCTTTTTTTCTTCGCAATTATGCAAATATACAGGTAATTTTAGGAAATGATGTAAAAATAATTACATTAACGAATGAGATAACTGAAATATCGAATGCTAATATGGGTGGTTGCAAGGAATGGAGGTGTAGCATTCGTTTTTCAAAATCTCATACGATTACGCCGAGAGCTGAGGCTATTTTGATGAATTCGATGAAAAAATACCCTCGGTTACATGCCAATAAGTACTACATATTTTTCACTCAGGTAATTAATGAATATTCATCTGAAATACGGTAATGGAGTTGAATGTTGAGAAATAAATTAAAGAATTATTCTCGACTATTGTTTTATTTGAAAAAAAAAAAAAGAATTTGAAAATTGCATAACATTAAACAGTTCTTCACTTATTCCTATCATAACATTTCAGGTAAAACAAAAAGAGAAAAAAGACGAAATTAATAATACTATAAATTAATTTAATCAAAGAATGTATTCATTTTGTTTTATATGAAATGATCAATTAGCTATTCGATAAAAACAAAGAAAGTGTTTCTTTTTTTTCACAAAAATTATAAATTATTGATGTATTAATTATAAATTTGTTGCGGTTAAAATATATTGCTTTCAGGAATCAGCTGCTAATTATCCAACTAATAATTTGCCCTTCAATTTAACATTAAATTTCATTCGTAATAGTCCAATTTCATCACCATATGGGTATACGGTGAAGTTAGCAGAAGCTTCAAAGCCTGTAGGCCCATTAATTAATGATGATATTATACGAAATAAAAAGATACCGATCGCATGGATTGTAAGCAATTGTGAGACTGCAAGTCAGCGTGAAGTTTATGTTAACTATTTGAAGGTTTTCCATTATTTTCTTATATATTTATTAATGATATCATTATTAATGTTTATTATTAGCAATCATTATAATTAATTATAATGAATAGTAAAAGAAAAAAACAGACGGTAATATTAAGAGTTGAAAATTTTTTAATTTTTCTTCAAATTCTTTTATTCTGAAGTATTGAATTACAAATGACTAACTTGAAATATTAACTTAATTTAATTCCATAAATCATAAAAGCTCTTACCGATTAATGTAAAGGCGGTATTGGTATTAAATATTAATTAATGTATTCCAGAACTATTTAACTGTTGACATATTCGGTGCTTGCGGAAATAAGCATTGCGCACTCAGAGATTCGTGTAAAAATGAGCTCAATAATGTGTATGTATTTTCTATTAAATTATCCGACAAAAATAACATCGTGAATTCTCAGTCTTTCACACGGATTTGTAAATTATCGATCTTTTCATCGAGAATTACCAGAAGGAAAAAAATTGATTGTTACAAACATTTTTGCTTTAGGCGCTTCATCTCTAATCAAATCTACTATAAATAATAAAATTTGAAATAGAACCGAAAGTGAAATCAATAAACAATAATTTGAAATGTTGCGAAAAAAAATTTTTTTTTTCAATTTCATAAAAATATTTTTTTTCACATGGATAATTTCATATAAGATGATTTCATATGAGGTATAATTTACACATAATTGGAAAATAGCAAGGCAACAATGATTGATATTTTGAAGAAAGTTAAAAGCAAAAAAAGGAAAATTCATTATTAATTAAAAATTAATTAAAATTTATAAATTATATTGCATTTTTAGTTATTATTTTTATTTGGCATTTGAGAATTCAATATGTGATGATTATATAACGGAAAAATTATGGAAGCATGGATATGGCCATGATTTAATACCAATTGTTTTGAAAAGATCAATCGTTGAACGATATGTACCGCCGCATTCATTCATTGCTATCGATGATTTTGCAACAATTCGTGATTTGGCTAATTATTTGAAATATTTGATGACTAATCAATCAGCATATAGGTTATTGCCACTAAAAATATACATAATTAATAGTTAAAAATGAAATTTGATTCCATTTATTTATTTCAAATTATGGAATTTTATCGAATATTTACTTGTATTTCAAGAATTTATGCACTTGATAATTTTGAAAAAAAAAATGTTTGAATTAAAATGTAATATTTGATTATTTTAGCTAATATATATTTTAATTTCATCCAGTAACTAATCTAAGAATTTTCATTTGTTCATTGTTTTAGCAAATTACACTAACAAATTAAAAATTAGGAAATATTTTGATTGGCGTGGCGAGTATAAAGTGTTATTTTTGGATGGCAGTAATCATGATGAACTGGAACGACCATGGGGATTTTGTCAACTTTGCAGGTTGATCCGTTATGCTAGTAGAAATAATTAATTAAGATAATTAATTGGATGAAAATTGATAGATTCATAAATTTCCGAAGATATTTACTTTTTATGTTATGCATTTTAATCCATTTTTTCAATGATTTTCAATATAATTTTATAAATTCATATTTTTAAGATTATTATGGATGAAACCCCGTCCAAAATATGTTATTAAAAATTTCGCTGATTTGTGGAGTAAATCATGCGAATTATCCGGTACGCTGGTTAATGGAATTTTACGAGAAGAACAAAAATTAATAAAGATTTAAATTTTACCTCAAATTATTCTGATTATCATTGTTGTTGTTGTTAATAATGATGGTCAGAATTTCTTGCTCAGTGATTGTTTTTGATAAAATGATTTAACGAAAATGTCATAAAGCATACAAAAGCATGCTTTAAAATAAATTTTAAAAAATTGCAAAAAAAAGAGAAAGAAGAGGAGAGGAAAAATTTGCTTATGATAATGGCTCGTTTCACAATGAAACCAATATTTGAGTAGAAAGTATTGGATATAACATTGGAAATATTAATACTAATTAGTACTCAGTTAATTAGTATAAAAAAAATGGGATTGTTTTTTTCCCAATTTTTCTTATTGTAATTAAATAGAAATAGGAATGAATAAACAATTAATGATACATGAACTGTTTCCATGTTTTTATAAGCAAACCATTAAATAATTAATAGCACTTTTTGTTCCGTTGTTAAGTAATTAGCTGAAAATGGAAATGAAAATTAATAATACATGAAGTTATTATTGACGCATATTTTCATATTAAATTTAAAACTTTGATATTTATTAAAATATTTTATTCTTTCATTACCGTAGAGTTCAGTTTGACACATAATAAGCTAATTAAAGCTGTACAATACTAATTACTAGACTATTGTAATAAATCATCTGATTTTTACAAATGCTACTTCGAAAGAAGAAAATGATGAATCTATTGCAGACAACACAAATTTTCTATTATCGAGAGATCTTATTGATTATAATCTTCAATTTCCAAAATGATGCAAACGATTGATTGTATGAATTATCAAATTATTGCTTATTACATGTTATGCAAAATTTCTGTTTCCTATTTCATTTCATCGTAAGGTTTATTAGTGACGATGATTTTGCAACTGATAACAGAAACGATCGGCTATGTGTTTTTGTTTGAAATCATTATTTTGCTAAATTGGCAATGGAAAATGTAAATTTTTCTGATAAAAATTTCATAATTTCATTGATTATGCAAACGATTGATTAAAATGATAACTTCATTAAATGGTAACATTTTTCTGAAATTTGCATGTGTTAATTTTATTTTAGCTCAAATTTCCTCGTGACATTTCTATAAAAAACAAAGTTGTAGTTTTTGAAGAATTAATTAATATTTTTTTTTTAAGCATAAAATGAAAAAGAAAAAGTGACGAATTTTCTTTACTTTTTTTCTTTTTTTTCTTTAATTTTTTTGAAAAACCACGAAATAATTTGAAAATAATTCGTGATTAATAAAACAATAATTGATCAGTATCCAAATACTATTTTGATCCTTCGATTATCAATGTTACCTCAATAAAGTTATTTCTTTCCAATCTAAAAGCACAATAAAATATTGGTAAATTTTTTTTTGATTTTGCAAAAAATTTTAAAAATATATTTAATTTATTGGAAATATGATAAAAATTTTTGCTAAAAAAAAAGAATGCTTTAGAAATTTATCAAATATTATTATGGCATTAGGATGTTTCAATTCCAAATTTTGCAAAATGACTGATAAATTATGAAAGTACGGAGTGGAAACGAATCTTTTCGTTGCTACACTCATATAATCAAAATACTGGTTATAAAGGTAATTATGCAAAACAAACTAATTATTTCAGCTCGAGTTTTTTAAGCCACTATTTTTTAAGTAGAATTAAAAGGCAAAAGCTCTTTTTTCTTCGGAACAAAAGTTATAACAAATTTTTTTAAATTATAAAAAGAAAATTATATATCATTTTTTTTAGCGAATTTTGTGATTGATTATTCATGAAAGAATTATGATATTGATTTAAGTTCCACAAGATAATTTCCGTTATTATGCTGCAAAATTTAGGTAAGGTCTATTTTTTTTGGAAATATAAGTGATTTTAAAGGTTGAAAAAAATTTTGGGGAATAATTTATTATTTTATATTATAATGTTTGTTGAATGTTAGAATTTTTTTTTCTTATCTTAATAAATTAACTTTCATCATTATGCTATAACAATTGTTAACAATAAAGAAATATACTATATGTGATAGAAAATGAAACTAGAAATGACATGTATACGAGAAATAATAGTAACTGATAGAGTATGCAAAATTTCAATCAAAAATAATTTCAAAATTAAATGAATGAATTTTTTAAAGGAATATACGCATTGTTTTTTTTTGAAATGCAATTTTTTTGCAAGAAAGGAAAAAATTTGAAAAAAATGTAATTCAAATTTTTGCATTTAGTTAGTTGAATATTTAAATTTAATTTATGATTTGCTTATTTTTCAATTTTTTGTCATTCTGAGGTGCACAAACATTCTTAACAAATAAAGTAATACAAGTTAATTTATGCTAGAATTTTTTGTCGAAATGCACAATTGAAAATGAAACAATCAATCAAATCAATTCATATTGGTCAGTTTGAAAAAACTGATATAAACCGAACAGCATTTTCTCTTTTCTCTTTTATTTCAAACAGGGCTAATAACTGTAATAGAATGGAAAAATAAGTCAAATGATTAATAAGTTAGAATGGTTCGATTTCATTTCTAAAGTGGAAAGTAAATATTCGTTAATGACTTGATATTTTAATTTATCGACGCTTTTAATTGTTCAATTGAATAGCTAAAACAATAAGATCATGATAGCATATAAAAAAAAATATATAATTGGCTGATTATCTTTTGTTTTTGTTGTTGGATCGTAATTTTAATGTCTTATCACTTACATATATAATACCATATTTTCACGTTTTAATATCTTATATAAGGAACAGAAAAACACTGTATAAAATTTTTAATAACTTTAACTAAATAATTAAAAAGCAATTATTAAACCTTCTGAAATATTTGAATGAACTCTGTTCCAACAACATTTATTGTAATTTTTTAAAATGACATCAATTTTAAATCTAAATTCCACTGAGATCAAAATACTTTTGATTTTCTTTGATGATATAATTTTCAATATTATCATTGTATGCAAATGATACACTGCTGCTGTGATTAAACGATCATTGATTTCCTATTAATCGTGTATATAAGAATGTAATTATTTTTAATAAAAATATTTATAAATTGTAATAATTTAGTAAGCTATGTATTCATTTTTATTAAATTATAAATTTAGATGTTTCCTTTTTTCTTCATTTCGAATAATTAAATCTTGTTTTTTAATTTTTCTATTTTTTCAATTATTTTAAATTATCAGTTATGTTACATAATTGCTCAATCACAAGTTTGACATTCTATTTTTTCATTCTTTCAAATGCATTATTTTGTCATTTCAGACTTTGTTTATGATACTTACATCAATCATTATTAAAAAATTTTTGAACCTTTGGTTTCTTTTTTTCCACTTTATTGATTTAGACTAAAGTTTTATCCAACATTTTTATTTTCGGTGCAATTTGTTACCATTTAATTATTTTCACTTCAAATTACAATTTTTTTTTAAACCAGTAAGTATGTGTGATATTAATAATGATAAACTAAAATTTCAATAAATATTAAAATCTTATCATTTTCAAATATAAGAAGAAAAGAAGAAAAAAAGATTAGAAGGAATGTCATTGAAGGATAATCCATCGATAAGACGGTATTGAAAGTGCAACATATTCCCTTCCAACTCTTCAATCTTTTCACATTTTTCATCTAAATTTTGCCAAATGTTTCGTTCTATGAAACTGATTGTTTATTGAATTACTTATTTTTATTCATAATAAAGTCTGAAAAAATGTTTTATTTCATGTTATAAAATTTAATATTCACATAAAAACAGTAATCATTTTTCTATCTTATTAATTAATTTTTTAATCGTTTTGTTGGAAATTCTGCTCGTTTTCGGAAATTCGGAACAATCCTATTTCAACATTTAATGTATAATACGTGAATGAAGTGAAAAAAAAAGTCATTTGTGTTTATCGAAATAATTGTTATTCAATTTGTCATGCTGAAATATTCTAGTAGTGATTAAATTTGAAAAAAGTTTATTTCAAATTGTGAAATTTAATGTATTAGTAGAAAAGCGATAATATAACAAATTATTAATACGATAATCATTTCATCTAATCGAGAGAACTAATTCATGTATGAATGAGGTGATTCATTAAGAAGATGATAAATATTTCGATGAAAATGCTTGTTAAATTTGATAATATTTGAAAAAAGAAAAATAAAAAACCAGAACAATTCTTTAAAAAATTTTCATATGATATTATTTTCTTAAATAAGTTGCATTAATTAAAAAAAATTTTAAAAAAAGCGAGAAACAGATCGATTATTCGTACGCTTTCCTTATGTTCAACAAAATAAATAAGAAAGTGTTCTTTTTTTTTTGTCAAATCGAAAGATTCATTAATTATCATTCATACGACAAAATTTCTTTTTGCAAAATTTACAAAGAAGGAACTTTTACATTAAATTCAAACAATAAATGATGATAGTTGAACTGGTTTTTCATTTATTTTTCAAAATAACAATTTCCCATTGAGCAACGGTGTCAGTGTGCTTTAACATCTCATTATTTTCAATCAAACATTTTTCCTTTTTTTTTTTTTTTTTTTAGAAGAACACAAGAATACGAAAGACATTGAACAGAAATTTTGATTTATTTCAACGATGAAATAATGTCACTTTGAATCATTTAAAAATTTTATTGATTTTAATTTTCAATTACGATAAAAAATATTAAAGTTTAATTGGTTTTTATTTGTAATAATGAAAAAAAAAGTATCAATTTTCATAATGAATTATTCGGAAATTATTTGTTAATTACCATATTAGCACTTAATATCTTCAGCATATTTCATTTCTGTATTTTTCAAATACTAATTTTTTACTTCATAAATGATATCATTTTAATAATTTCCAACATTTTTTTTAGAATTCCATTTTTCTTTTTTAGCATAAATTTGATTTAAATGATTAAAATGAGAAAATTTCGTCATAATTTAAACAGAAGAAAATATGTCGATAAATTTTATACTTTCTTCATCATTTGTTCAAAGTGAGTAATTAATTCAAAAATTTGAGCGTA